CTGTATCTTGAAACTAAACAAATAACTTTTTCGCGTTCGAGGTCGGCTATTTATTGAATACTCCCACATACCAAATTGAAGAAAATGGTATGCATTACAACTTTTCTGATAGCCCCAAAAGACATTCAGTGCAAAGAATCCCACCCACTTGAACTGACTTTGGTCTTGGGTAACTTGAGACGCCGACACAAGTTTTCGAGAGCCAAGTTATAGAAAAAAAATTTTTGCAGGTTTTTAGTTCTTTATTTTTAATACCAAGCTTTGCCTTTTTTACTGTCTTATCTTACTGGAAGTTAAAAAAGAAACCTGAGTAGAATTTTCGGACGTAATAGTAAATCTCTTGAAAAACCTTAGTGTAGTTTCTTTCTATGTTACTCAATCTGGATATCCCACGGAAGTTTCTTAAAGAATATTTTGTCTCTTTTATTTTCACGTCATCCCATCGGATAATCTTGCATTATTTAACACATTCTGCTATTAATGGATAATGGCTTGTATATGTATGAGATTATATAATGTGATTGCCGCATTTTTGTCACCAGTATCATGAAATTATGGATGATGCCATTGCAGCGTACGGGATCTTCGGATGAACCGTTAAAATATTTGCAAACATAAACCGAATAATATCGTATCAACATTCATCTGAATATTCAAATACCTGTCTATGTAATCAAAACGTGGGTCATCCCACTCAGTACTAGAATTAACATGATCATTTACAATGTTTACATGATCGCTTGTTTAAAAAATGTATCTCGTCTTTATTTGCATTTACCGTTCAACGGCATGGACATTATTTAATTATGAATTAAACCATGGGCGTCCTCAGTTATGTGCTTCAATAAAACAGTTGGTTAATCGAGTAGGTGTAGATTAAGTAGACGAATACAAATAGACAACGGAATTAAAGAAAATCGCGTCAACTAGATTGACTATAATCGAAATCTGGACAAATGGACTTTGAATACGCAGTTTGAGGTATCCAAGTCAACCTTCGTAGGCTAGTATATAAGGTATAAATATTGCTGATTAAAAAAATAAATAAATTATGGACTTTGAATATGCACCCAGTCCGAGTCAACGTTTGTACGTCCTGTTGTCCTCACTATTCGCAGACAAAATTTCATGGCAACCGAACCACTTCACACGGAGTTATCGCGCTCATGTGACAGTGACTTTTTAGCATCGGTCGAAACATGAGCATCGAACAAAGAGCCAATATTACTGTGGTAAGCTTGGTAAAACATTTACCGAAACGTATCAGATGTTGATGCAAGTGTATGGTGTTGATTGAAAGCCAAAGATACACATACATACACGTAACATCTAAAAAACATAAGATAGGCGAAAATCCCTAAAACGTCGGAAACATGTTACAGTTCTTGTTATATGATCAAAGCTACGACTAGGACGTTGTTTAGAAAGGAAGGAACTTGAGCCTCAGTGAAGCGAGATTTTGAGCGATCATCTTTCATTCCCAGGTCGAAAACTCATATTCTTGGCCTGACTTGTCTCGAACGAGCTTTGGGAACGTCCGACATATAAAACCACGCATGTTTAGTATTGTAATGGCTTAATTTACATGGCTCTACACATGTAACTTCATTAAAAACTAGAACTATAACGCGAATAAAGTGGGACCATGAATGACAGAAGCAAAAAAATCCGCAACGCTCGGGTTACCTGAAGGAACTTAAACAAAGTTACGAGGCTGCGGCTTAAAAAATGTAAGACGATATAATTACGCAAAAAAGATCCTGTATACGGCTTTTCAATGGTTCGACTTTGGGTTTAATTAAAAATTTGCATAACCTGAACCCTGAAGGTATAAAGGTATATAAATAATATATCTAGAACAATCTTATTAAACCGCATTCTTTATAATTAAGAACATCGAGAATAAAAATAAAGAGGATAGAACGGTGAATGGATCTCAACGCTAATTGCGAGTTTCTACTCAGGTATACATATTAGGATCGTATTACTCATCTCTGATGTAAAACGGAAGAAGGAATGGGCGTAGAACATGTAAGGACGATTATTTTCAAATCACTGAACAAAATTATTACTTGACATTACAAAAACAAGGCTTCCACTGGTTGATAGCACAAATCATGCAGATAACAATATAAACGTTCCTAATAAGCGACCAAGGAAAAGAAGAGTTAAGTAGATTATCTCAGTACTTCCCATTCAATCCTATCTTAAGTTTAAGGTGCACCAAATTTCCGAGCGCCATTAGTGATAAGTGAAAGACCACCTAGAAATATTTCTAAATGCCATAAAGAATGCTGCAAAACTTTGGCACTGACATTGGGCTTTAGTCAAATAATTTTCAAATTATAGATGGGCAAACGATTACCGGACAAACTGACCAAAATGAATGCAAAAGTTTTTCGTGATGCACAACTCGTGAAATATCCATAAAACATACCTGTAATATACAGACTTCGAAATTTCTCACGATTTCAATAAATAATTGGAAGAAAAACAATAAAATAAGGGACTGGCAGCTTTCAATTTATATTGTGATGATAACAAATAGTACTCTTGGCGCCATCTGTTGGGAGACTCTCCTACTCGCCAGAGCTTCATGACCGATATCTGCTTTTACTCGGACCACGACCGCACAAGCCGCTTGGCGACATCTGTTGAGGACCGTACCAGTGACTCTTCTAGATCGACGCGAAGTGACCTCGAATATTCTAGATACCGCTTTGTGGCTCGCCAGACCTTTCTATATATAACTCGGCGGCCGGGAGATGGAAGCAGAGTACAGTAGAGCAGAGTGAAGTATAGTGCAGTCAATGGCGCGACATAAGAATTAGTTAGACATAAATAGCGGTGTACATAAATGTTCTATCTAGTCAAGTAAAATAAATTAGTGCATTCCTTTTTGTGGAATCCACTGCCTTAATCCACACCCTAAAGAACAGAGAGAAACGATACAGAATCAAACTCTTTTGAATTACTATACTTAGATACAAGTAATGTTTTTTCAGAGAACGATGAAAGTTAAGAACTTTATAGTTTCGATACCTCTCAAACCTTTTTCCTTCCAATTCCATCCAGTATTAAAAAAATGGTTTCGAACGAAAAGTTCACAAAAACCCAACTTCCCAATTCATTCTTTTTAGAAAGCGTTAGTCCGATTGAAGTACAAGAAGCTGTCCTATCACTTAAAACCAAAAAAAGTCCTGGTGTGGATGGTATCAAAGCTGAGCATTTAAAAATAATAGCCTACGACTTAGCCGAACCACTTTCTTACGTCATTAATTGGTGTTTCCAGTCTGAAATTTGTCCTGATGCATTTAAAACAACTGTTATTACTCCTGTTTATAAAAGCGGTGACAGAATGGAAACATCAAATTATAGACCCATATCAGTACTATCGAATATAGTCAAAATTTTCGAAAAATTACTACAAAAAAGGATATTGCAATTTTTGGACAAAAACAAAGTTATATGTTCTGACCAATATGGATTTAGAAAAGGAAAATCTACTACAGATGCAATTTTGGCTACAATGGATGAAATTAACTCTAATGTCAACAAAAAGATACCTACTATTGGTATCTTTGTTGATCTAAAAAATGCCTTTGATACGGTTAACCATGTCGAGCTTCTGAAAGTTATGGAAAGATTGGCATTTAGGGGAGCGTCACAAATCCTTTTAAAAAATTACCTTTCAAGTCGGACACAGACTGTCAAAATCACTAACACTTACAGTAAAAAAATGTACATCAAGTGTGGTGTGCCTCAAGGAACAGTACTAGGCCCACTATTATTTAGTCTCTACTTAAATGACTTATTCAAAATTAACAGTTCTGGAAAGATTATATGTTTTGCAGATGACACCCTCGTATTATATAAAGCTGATGACTGGAGCACACTGAAGCAAATAGCTGAAAAGGATTTTATAAGGATCATTGACTGGTTTGATACTAAAATTTTAACAGTTAACTTCAAAAAAAAAAACAAAATTTATTGCATTTACATCCTATTCAAAATTTTTACCTACCTTCGAACAAATTTCCGTTAATTATCATGGCCAAAAGACCAAAATCGATAGAGTTAACACTTTGAAATATCTTGGAATATTTATAGACTCACATCTAAGGTGGAATAACCATATTAAATATATTATCAAAAAAATTAGAAATGTTGCCTATAAACTCAAAATGCTTGCTAACATTCTTACAGAAAGTTATCTGCGAATCCTATACCATGCCTTAGTTGAAACCCATATAATATACGGCATTACAGCCTGGGGTGCCGCCTGCAAGACATATATTTCTGACCTGAATATAGCACAAAAAACTGTTTTGAAAGCCATTTTCCATAAGCCAAGATTATATCCAACGAACAACTTATATCAAGAAACAGGGATACTTGATACAAGACAACTTTATTTCTTACATGCCACCACCTTATACCATAAGTATTGTAATAAAAAGAAAAAATCCTATAAACACGAGCATAACACACGATTTCGAATAGGCTCATCTAATATCCAAAGACCACACAAAACATTATTCAAAAAATCATTTAAATTCTTAGCGGCTAAATTATATAATGTAGTACCAAACGAAATAAAGATACTTAATTTTGGAAAAAAATTTAGAAGAAAATTGAAAGACTGGGTTAGTAATGTGCAGCGAATGACTATACATAATTATATAGAAAACTAAAAGTACAAAATTCCAATTACATTAATACCTTTTAGATTTAACAATAATTGTTATACACATATATGATTGATTGTTAGTTATTAAGATATAAACCACACACAGGCGATGCCTTCTGTGATTTTTTCATATTTATTTGCCCATTTTTTGTATTTTGGCGAATAAATATTATTATTATTATTATAATTATTTGTACCGGAGATGATGCTGCTGAACATTGAAACGTTATACAAGCAACTTAATGCAATATCACTTCTGCGCGAATCCAAGATTCAGTTGAATTGATACAAAATAATAATGGAAACTCACCAGTCTTCCCCGGCGTACACCGACAATAAAAACTCCCAACTCGGTCAATGCAGGTTGCACCATTGAAGCAGGCTGCGCCCGCGCAATCGTCGATGTTCACCGAACAGTCCGGCCCTGTCCAACCGTTAACGCAAATACACGAGAATCCGCCCACGCTGTTCGTGCAAGTCGCGCCATTTTGACATACCTGAAACAAAATATTGTTGATTAGAGTATGTCATTTTATGTGTCAAAACTTATAACATATACTATGAGTTCTCATAATGATGGAACAACTCCTAAGGTTGAAATAGAAGGAACAGAAATAAAAAGCAACAAATGCGGTCCTGTCTCCATTGGATGACTAAGTGAAAAGATACGAGGAACATCAGTATTCAACCCAGTCATTGTGTGGTTAAGCAAATCGGAAAACCGAAATTAGCACATATAGCAATAACAAACTTGTAGGTTTGACGTTAGTTTACGGTGAGTGTCTCCAAGATTCTGCTGATGCTTCGAGAGTGTATTCAGACAGATCGTTTGCCTGGACATTATCACCCCGCGCCGCATAGATTTGTCTATCTCGTACAAAGGCCGAGGTAGATACAGACTGCACTGAATGTTGCAAACTGAAAAAGTAAACATTCTTTACTTGAAATTTATCATCCATGAACATTGAGTCATTTTCTTTAATTTCCTTTTACGCATTTATTAGGTTTGTTATATTCAGAAAAAGTACTTACAGAAGGCCTCACAGAGCACTCGTCAACATCCTGTTCGCAAAACTGTCCAGTGTATGTGGAAGGGCATTCGCAGCTGTACGAGTTGATGCCATCTATACAGGTGCCGCCATTTTGACAATGATGGCCTGGACAGTCGTCGATGTTTTCTTCGCAGTTTTGGCCACGGAAGCCTGAAACAAAATAAACTACATTCAACACACTATTCAAACAAAAATGATTGTTTATATAAAAGCAGTGGTCCAAGATCAGAACCTTGAGGAACTTAGTAAGCTTTATTGTGGTTTGAATGAAACGGAAATACGTTTTTATAGTTTTTCAACGATTTAAGATTGGCTGTTGCACATAATCAGAACTGTCCTGTGATAAGTTCGTTGTAGAAGGATTGAAACTATCATCAACTTTGTTCTGGAAGCAGTAAGCATTAAAATTCTTCACAGGTTTTATAAAAACAGTTTTATTTTCGTTTTGACTTCAGGCATGAAATATTGCCTCATTTTGCATCACTTTCCCATTGTTACAAAATAGGATGATAAAACAATACGTGAAGAGGATGAAAATCGTGCGAACTTCTCCAATTTTTAATTGGTTAAATATTAAAAGCGTGTTGCAGCTGTGTACGTGTAGACTATATGCAAAGAGAAACATAGAACGGACCACCATATATGCAACGTTCACAACCATTGTTTTGCTATTGTCTCGCCCTAATTTGAATAATAATAAATCATTATTATTTATAATACTCGACTGGAGATTTTGTACCAGCCTTATACGTTGCGCAACTATCACTGACTTATATTGTATGCAATACATAGCCGACGCAAAATAAGAAAAATTCAGTCAAAATTACCGAGTACTTTCCATATAAATATGTTATTTGGTCAAACTCAGAAATCACCGACGATATTGAAAAAATGGTAAAAATGAATAACACAGGATGCTAAAATAAAGGTCGGTAATCTAGAAAACGTTTGTAGCATCTAATAAATTTACAAAAAAATGTATCTATTATGTTCCGGTCTCGTCGAAGTAAATACTACTTGTAGTACCCTCGTATCTCACCAAACCCACGAGTTCAAAGGCCGCACGCAGCCAAGGAAAGCGGCTCATCGCCTACCTACCTTCCTCCCCTCTGGCCGCCTATAATCTCTCATTTTCTCCAAAGCCAAGTTGTTGCAACAATTGGGTGATACATAGGGAGAGAGGAGCTATTTACTTCGACCAGTCCATCACATAATTAGAATCGAACATCACTTACAGGTAAGTTCGTTTGATCACATAATTATAACTGTGAATGGTCACAAGATACGCCGAAAATGATGAACTTAAGCCCTGATACCGTTAAATTTTGGGGGGCCAGACGACGCCTAATAGAAAGACCAAATTTTGATGAAAATCAAGATGAAAATCCAAACAACAGATAGTAAATTCTTGTAGTATAAGAGTATTTTCTCTTTTTGTATTAGTTCGGTAATTTCTTTAATTTTTAACCTAATAATTTACATTTACATCTATAGAGGTTACAAGAACCAATATTCATAAAAAAAATGACTGCAAGGAAACTTGACGTAGAAGCTGCAATATTATAGAATCATTGGATAGTTATAAATAAATTAGATTCAAATAGATGGGATATCTAAGCAGAATACTGAAGTAGGATATAGCGGAAAATTGTGGTGGAACAGCTGAGAATAATTTACCGTATGCATCTCATTGCCCTTGGCCATACCATAAATTTACACGTAACAAAGATCTTTCTAGGCAAATTGTGAGAACCATATTTGCATTGGATCGTTACGTGAACCACCATTAAACGTCACTCGTTTATAAGAAAATCGGAACCAACGGTTCTGGAAATTGGTACCTCGGAGAACGGTTAATGGGCTGGAGTTCGTAGGACGAACGCAGTTTTGGTACATAATTGATATTTCTTTATACACAAGAGAGCAGTGACCTTTTTGTTTTGAAGCAGGAACAAGAATGAGGATAATGATAATAGAAAATCAGATACAACTAGCACCAACTTTAACAACAATGCTCAATTTATTAACAAATGGACATTGATTATGGTGTACAAGATACTAACGCTAAAAGGCTTCAAAATGTACAAGAAAATAAATCAATAATAAAGAAGAAACATTTTAGTAGTTTCGCAGTATTTGCAAAAAATCTATAAATCAGGCGAGGAAATCAATCTAAAAAATAATCCTTAGATGCGTTACTTCTACTTTTTGATTTCATTTTAACTGATTCCATGAAAGAAAGTGCTTGGTTCAAAGTATATGAAAACTTAAAACATAGTTCATTTGATGAAAATGCTGCTTTAAGTTCAAGTTTTCCTGCGAAAAAGGACCTACTATAATGACGTCACTGCTGCTATTTGTCAACATCGGAGTCATCACGACAGAGCTGCTTCCCAGTGAACCAGTTAAGTTACTTGGAGTAACTCAGAACCAATACATGAAAATTTACAATTCAAGAGTCATCTACATTCTACATCTACCAGAAAGAAATGATTGAGTTCAACACAAATTAAACCCTCTAAGAAAAATGCTAGTCACGAACACATACAACAAACATCAACAACAGCAAACGCTTCATCATAAGTGGTTTGTACTACATTCCGGTTTAGCTTTCGAGTCCTTTGGTTGAAATTATTGTTAGATGAAATAAAAACGTTGCAGGGTATGAGTAATATTTTTCCATGTTTCTTCATCTTTGAATTTCTGATAAAACCAATCGTGGTTTACTGCATGAATCTTATCCATATTCAAGAGCCTTCTAGCTTGTTCTTTACCATTACCAGCCATCCGCGCTTGTAAAAATCATAATAGCCAGATTTTATTGTCGGTGATCCAATTGTAATGGTTATTAAGAAATTGTAAGTATTAACATACAATGGCCGCGTGCGACTGTATATACTCTATATAAACCATACACACCGAGACTGGCCGCCTTTCGCTCTAGAAAAGGATAGATTTAATCAATTACGCTGTTTCCCAATCGAAAAGTCATATCCTGGGCCCCAGAGAACAAGCCTGCAGTCATGGGTGGAACAATGGGTAACAACAACGCATAACGGGACTAACAATACGTGAACCCGCCCCTCCTGGTGGGGAAGTGTTGGAATCACGAAAATCTGGATGCTCCACGTACATGAAGAATAAATAATATTTTAAAAAAGTAAAAAGACACGCTTTTTTTATACTCCAAGTACCACGAAGACCTAAGGCCTAAACACCCATTGGGTACCGTGGGGCTATAGGGGGATACAGGGGAACGACACACGGACTCTGGCGAGGGAACACGTGTGCATACAACATGCACACACCCTGGCTCCGCCTACGAGATCCGCCGGGTGGTACCTCCGTGTTAAAACCATGTCACTCTAATTACTATGTTACTACTATGACAAGGATGCAAAGGCTTTGTAGTTTTTCAAAATCGGTCCAGTGGCAGCAAAAAAAAAGGTAAAAAATGAAAAAGACAAAAAATCTCAGAAACTTCGACGTTTGACGTTTCCGAGGATCTTGTTCATTTACTGGAAAAAAACTTTAGGGATAAGTATCTTTGGCCCTTCCGCCGCCCTGGGTGTGTGCTCTGTTGTTGGTATTACACGTATTTCTGCCGCGCCACATCATAGTGTTTCCTATGCTCTGACCGCGCAGCCACATCTGACAGGGTTAAGTATCGGGAAAAGCTAACGTTTCCAGATGCACTACCGGTAAGGCAGGAAATGAATGTTAGACTGATTTTTTTCATGTAATTTTTAAGGTTACGCTTAAACAATATTTGTACGATACACACATGTCACACAGCGTAACATAACAGTCAAATGCCTGCAGAACACCTGTGCTGATATCTTTATGGAATCAACCCATGCCTACCTTCCAAATTAAATTTTTTTTGAGCCCGTTTAATCTGGTTAAATAAAATTTCCGCCGCCCATGCATATACATATACATTCGTTGCATTCGCTCGTGAGTTCAGACATCTCGTTTATTATTTCATACGGAAAGGTCATGATTTGAGGTATTACCTCCGCCTAATGATATCGGTAATGGCTTTTTAAACGATCCTGTATTGGCCAATGTACAACGGTCGTATTCTCTTATTCTTTGGCTCTAATAGGGTGAGTAAGACACACCGCTGTGTTCTATCCATTGTTTAGACTGTTTTAATTGGTTCATGTCGCTAGTATCATTTTGTTTAATTGGACGTTGGAATGTACTCCGCGATGGAAGTTCAGTTTGTGTCACAAAAGGTAAAGAAAACGACATCCTGGGAGGTAGGATAGTATTGGTACATTAATGGTATTATGATGGACATTTATTTATTTTGGAGAATCTCACACTTCGGGCATGCAAGTCCAATAGAACGAATCTATCGAGCTTTCCTTTGCCTAAATAATAGGGTATTTTCCATAATTTTGATCCATCCATCCATCAATATTTTTCCGCCCCCAAAAGGCATTTTATGAACATTTGCAATTTTTTTTACGAGCGAGAAGTGGGAAAACTTGACCTTCGGAGATCAAATATAAATTTTTGCACCAAAGTTGTTTTGATAACTTTTTGTACAAATTTCAAATGCGATTTTTCCAACACACCAGAGAAAAGGTAAGGATAAGTTGCATCATCAATGTAAAGCGAGTGTAAAACTTAAAATGTTTGATGCTTTTCAAAAAGTCTCCATTTTTTATTATTTGAACGGATCAATTGAAGAAACTGATGCATAAACACCATATTTTAGCGTAAATATGGAAGGATGGTGGTAAGGCACCATTTTGGAACATTTTTTTAAATAAAATACGGCACATTCCATTCAGAGAAATAACTGCCAAAATCTGTCATTTTTTTTTTAAATTGAATGCCCCATATTTCATTACACATTCAGATAAACACGTCAATTAACAGATTTTTTTGAAAACTTCATAGGCTTCAAAATTTTTAGCATCAATAGTGATATCTTTAATTCAAGTGCTTCCCAAGTTATAGAGGTTAGAACTACTAGCCAAACAGAAAAAAGGCAGATACACGAAATGATGTACCTACATATATTATTCAACATCTAAAAAATATATCTCAAATTCAAAATTTTTCGTAATTATAAAACTCTTCTCGCCTACTGGATTAAGAAATGATGCAAAAACTGAGCAACCAAAATACAGCATATAGAACGACTGAAAACATCATTCTCTCCACAAAAACGAAAACCTAAATACTACTATAACCACTTTTCCCTTCGCTCTTCTAAAATACACTTCACATAGGTTCCTGAAATTATTTGACCTTTCACCACTGAGGATGTCTACAAGAGCAGCAATTTCCTATCAATTTGGCAACATCGCTCGCAGACAGTACAGAGTGTTGACGCCATCATTTTTTTTAACTTCATTTGTTCCACATAGCTTCCTGATACATAGTGAACATCACACTTCAAACGCAATAATATCTCAAAATGCAGGACTTTTTGGCAATGAGGCAACATGGCTCGCAGGCGGTACAGAGCGTCGTTCCACATAGGTTCGTCATATGCATTGAACATCACACATCAGATGCAAAAATATCTCAATGTGCAGGAAGTTTTGGCAATGAGGCAACATGGCTCGCAGGCGGTACAGAGCGTAATTCCACATAGGTTCGTCATATACATTGAACATCACACATCAGATGCAAAAATATCTCAATGTGCAGG